AACTTCCGCCCGATGCCAGACAGTCCAGTTTCTCCCTGTATGAGTCTGGGTCCCCAGAGACTTGCCCAGAACTGGAGTTCAGAGCGGAAGCATGTGTCATCCTCCCGATTGAAAAAGACAACCACGTCCTCGGTTGCCAGCCCTTTCCGCATGCTCCTCTGTACCTCTGCACTTTACTTCTGCACCTCCTCTGAGTCTCAGTGTGCTTTTCTCTTTCCTTCTAGTTGTAGAATTTCCACTCAGTCAGCCTTCCTGTGATTCTGGATGATGTCCATTTTGTTTTTTGTAGTTTTGAAGTGGTTGTGCGAGGCAGCAATTTCAGGTGTTTACCTATGCTGCCATCTTGGTTTCCTCGAATTCCCTTTTAATGTGCACGAATTTCATGCACTGGATCACTAGTGTTTTCATATCATGTGATGGCTAGCAGTCTAAGAACCTGCTGAGTGTGAGGCTATAACATGGTATGTGGTATTATGGAAGTAGGGGGGAAGAAGGGAAGGGCTCTAGAGAAACTCAGGTTTCGTCTGGTTACTAATGGTCAAACCAGCAGATCTACATCCAGATTCACTGGCTCTGGATATGTAGATAGCAGTCCTGTAGCACATGGATCAAGACCTGGGTTAACTACACCTGGTCCCAAGCCTAAGTGATTTCTGACCAGAGTATTCACAGCAGATTGCAAATCAAGGCCCTTGCTGGCTGGAATGACAAAGTCCAATCTGATTAAAGACCCCAGAAGACTTACCAGGCAGTTGGGATGTGTTGTGCATGTCTGGCCCGGCACAGAATTGCATTGCTGAGGAAGAAACTTTGAGACTTTGGGCACAGCTGATGGAAAATGAACTGAAATGTTCTGATTTGTTACGGCAACTGCATCATAGGAAGGGATGACTGTAGAATAGTAATTGACAGCATGGAAGGAATTAAGAAAGAGACCTGTGCCGGGAACTTGAGTTTTATACACATCACCAATAGCATTCTCTGAAGTGGAGCTAGACTGACCTTTAATAAAAAGGAAAACAAATAACTATCAGTATACACAACTCTGTAACTCTGAACTACTGTATTTGAGACAAATTGTCCTCTATATAATTTTCTCACATTTCAAACTTATACTACTGCTACACTTAAATTCTGTTGAAAAAACAAAGTGAACATTTTTGTAGCAATGTTTAATGCAATAAATACACTATAAATTAGTGTTCATATGTCATTAAAAGAGATTTTAGAGAAGCATCAGATCTCTATGCTTTTGGGTGTATTTTTGTGTGTGCATTTTTGTGTTTGTGTGTTGCTACCATCATAATAAAAACTGTGACCATCTCTATGAAGCAAGGAAGAATGTTGGGAAGAACTCCATTCAGCCATGAATAAAATTTTCTATCAGTGAAGTGGGTTATATCATTACATATCTATACTCTGTACAGTATCTAGAAGGCAGAAAAATATTTAAAAATATATAATGATTGTTAACAATATACTCAAATCCCTCTGTGAATTCCTATTTATTTTCTTCTGGACAGTAATAATAGTAAAAGTAAAGTAATTTTATTTCTACTTTAAATACAAATGTATCTGGAATATTTGTGAATATTTGCACTTCAGCAAATGGATACACTGATTGATGGAAAAGTATAAGTAAAGGCAACCTAATGAAGTCTAAACACTGAACCAGATCAGCACTTTTGTGTCACAGGACAGACTTTAGCACAGGAATCTGGTAACACCAGGTAGTTGTTTAACTTCTCCAGCCTTCAATTTACTGATGTAAGTGATGAAAGTGAAATCTGAAGAATTTAAGTGATTTCAACTTAAATCGGAACAGATCCTCTTTCAAAAACAAATTAGCTCATGCATTCCTTGCTATACATGTGCTCACATTCTCAAACTCATTCCTTACAGACTTCTAGGAATCCGGCCCAAGGAAAAGACCAAAACATGGAAACATCATATGTGGGGACATACTATTTCCTATTATATTATATATAATATATTGTTATATTACATATATATCAACATAAAACTGGAAACACTAAATATAGCAATTGGAGGATGGCTAAGAAAATTATTTTTTAATCATTTGATAAACTAGTAAAATAAAACGATGAGGACTGCATAGTAAAGAATTAAACTATATATGGCATGATATTAAGTAGCAAAAGCAGGAGATAAAATTGAACATCCAATATGATTGCTAATGTAAAAAATACATAAAAAAGACTGAAAGAAAAGACATTTTAAAAAGAGTTATTTGTTGGGCTAGTAAAGAACTAATATTGCTTTTTAAATAAAAGAAAGTGTATATAAATAAAATTAAAATAGGGGTTTAGACTCAATGACCTTCAAGCTCTCCTCCATTCTAAACATACCACAGCCTATGGTCCTAGTGTATCTGTGTTGTCCCAAGAACAGCTGGTTAAGATGAAGCAACACAAGAGATGCTGCGGCACATTAAAGCCTGAACTCACTACCTCAGAAAGAGTATTTCAGAGTTTCTGCAGACTATAAATAGTGAGAATACAGAAGTAAGAATGTATGTATAAGAAATAACATTGATAGGCATATGCCTGTGGCCTGATCTCTATATGATTTAATCCAGGCTGACTTTATCATTCAGTGTGACATTCAGACAGCTACTTCCAGTAGATTATCCATGGTTCATGGCTACTCTTTTTCTATTCACCTCCACTCTCCTTAAGTTATGAGAAAAGTCTAAATTGACTTTTCTCTGAGACTGACTTGATTATATGAAAAAGGAGGGCTATCTTCTATTTTTGGCCCCTTTTCTCCTTTGATGTTAGATGCCACTCCTAGTAACCTTGTTGGTGCCCATGACTTCCACTATATCCCCACAATATGCACAGTATCTCTGTGACAGCATTTCAGTTACTAGAGGAATTACGTTTTGCTATTGTGAGCTCTGTAAGAAAAAGAACTGCATCTTGTTCATTCTTGTGTCCCCATCTGTGAAGCAGGGACATTTGAGCTAGAACTGGGAGTTAACTAGGTAGAGTATGGGAAAGGCCACTCCCAGCACAGGGAAGGTTCTGAAGTGAGAGAGCAAAATCCCTTTGAGGAAGTCAGCAGAAGGGTGACCTCAGACTAGGACATCAAGGAGATGGGTAGGGGTGTCTGTCATCCAGCATCTGACAGGCAGGTTAGGAGCACAACACTAAGGACTGGTTTCTCAATGAAGAGTAACCTGCAGGAATACTAAGTCACAAGCTGCTAGCTGTGTTCTTTAACTCTGGCTCTGTTTTTTTTTTTTTTTTCCATCTTCTTATTTCCACAAGTCCATGAGCATGCCTTGACTATATAACACAAATAACAAAAATGCCTCATGGTGAGTAAATGTTTGTTTCACAGTGAATATGCATATGATGTATGTTTGTTGAGCACCTACTGTGAGTTGCTCATTGCTCTAGGTCAGTGGTCGGCAAACTCATTAGTCAACAGAGCCAAATATCAACAGTACAACGATTGAAATTTCTTTTGAGAGGCAAATTTTTTAAACTTAAACTATATAGATAGGTACATTGTTATTAACTTAATTAGGGTACTCCTAAGGCTTAGGAAGAGCCACACTCAAGGGGCCAAAGAGCCGCATGTGGCTCATGAGCTGCAGTTTGCCGACCATGGCCTAGGTATTAGAAATACAGCAATGAACAAAACAGGCAAAAAAATCCCTATCTTTGTGGAGTTGATATTCTAGTGGGATGAAATGGGCTATAAACAAAGTATGCAAGTAAAGAATACTAGAAGGTGATAAGTGCTGAGTAAGAAAATATGGTGGAGAAAGTAGATAAAGAACCCCACACTAGATGTGATGCTGGGAAGGAGTATCCGTTTTAGTTGCATTCCCCAAGAAGGTGACAAAGACATGAAAAAGTAAATAAATTAATGTATTAAATGCTCAGTACCTAGTATTGAATTAATACAAATACTTCCCTTCCCTTTAAATTCTACTCACATAATAAAATCACCAATGTGTTTCTCATATATCAGTAAGATGAGCTTTCTGATAATGATGGTCAATTTTGAGCCCCATTTTTGGATAACACTATTTAGGTGCCTGTGGCCAGTTTGTATACTTCAAGCAGACGACATCTCCCAGCCTCACTCCATTCCCTGGTTACAGCGTGACTGCATAGGAGCTGATGGGTTCATGGGACATATATGCAGGCGCAAGCATATTACAATGACTGAGGGGTCAGGTGAAGCTGACCTCTCACAGTGCCATCCAAGGAAACCCCTGAGGCAGGAACAGTATACACATTCAGGCACTTATTAGTCAGGAAACTGATTCCTCTCAGAGGTGAGTGTGTGCTTGCCAATACACTGTTTTCCCTTAAAAGGAGAGAAAAAAAAAACAAAAAAATTTACACATTTCCCAAGGAAGGTAATATGAACATTGCTGAGTTAAATTGTTTTTCTATCATTCAAGTTATAAAAACCATAGCCAGAGTTTAAGCTATGGATTATTTAAATATAAGAACAAAATGTTGAATAGGACTCAGGATGATTCTTTAGGATGTGAAAGAATGACCTGCTTTTCCACTATAGTTTTTCTTCATTTACCTATCCTAATTAATTTAAACAGCAAGCATCCCTTTGGCAGGTCACATTGTGACTAGCAATTTTTTAAAGAGTCCCAACTGATATAGGGACTCCTGTGACAAAGGAATGAATGCTAGAATCCATCATATCCTTACTTGATTGCCACAGTCACAACCATCACTACTGGTAAAGCCCCATTTTAAAATCCTCAGAAATAATAAAAGGAGTTTGAGGCAAATTATAACAGAATCATGAGTCTAAGAATATTATATATTTTATCACTGTAATTAAATGATACACATTAGCAATGGGAAAAGTTCACTGATTCTTAATAAAGGCCTGACTGTTCACTATGATGGGTTCAGTGTCTGTCTACACTTCTAGCATTAGCATCAGAGGGAAATAAACAAGGGCCCGTATCATACCTTTGTGCCATGATTATGCCTGGGAGGGATAGCTGGATGGGCATTTGTTGTTTCTTACAAAATCTCCTATTGCTCTGAAGTACTTCTGTAATCTAAAAAATAGAGGTAGAGATCTATTTAGAGATATTTTTTTCATATATACAAACACATATATTTCCAATGATAAAATTAGAAAGAAATAAAAATATAGCATTAAAACATTGTCTATTAGGATAGCATTCAAGTGCTTGGGAGTTGAATACCTGGCCCATAGCAGCTGGAGGGATTTTCTTTAGGATATACTTCACATAATCAACTGTGGCTTCAAGAATCGAAGCCGCATCATTCTTTCTCCCCTTTATACTTGGCACCAGAGTACACAGCTGCTCATAGCAATGCTTGATTCGCTCTCTAAGCAAGGAATGGTAACAAATAATGAATAATTAGTCTCATTTTCTTCCTGGGTTTGTTTGTAAAGGAACTTCCCCCTCCCTATTTAATCTCCCTTTGAGAAAAAGGCCATGTTCCACAAGCCAGAAGCTTCATAACCACTGGAATCAAAGCAACCCAGGGCACCTACAAATATTGCTGCAAAGTACAATGTCTGTGATGATGGCCACCCAGCTCCTTGCCCCAGGCCCACTGCAGTGTGCAGGATTCCAGACACCGGGGGAGTATAACAGTCACCCCTCATCTGTAGTTTCACTTTCTGAGGTCTCAGTTACCTGCAGTCAACAATGGTCCAAAAATATTAGGTGGAAAATTTCAAAATTAATCAATTCATAAGTTTCGATTTGTGCACTGTTCTGAGTAGGATGATAAAATATCACACCATCCACTCTGGCCCATCTGGAATATTCTGAATCATCCCTTTGTCATGTGTATCATGATGCACATGCTCCCTGCCCATTAATTACTTAGTAGGTTGTCTCTGATTGGTTATGTAGGGTGAGAGACCACATTCAAATAACTTATTATTATAGTACTAGAGGCCCAATGTACGAAATTCATGCAAGAGTAGGCCCTCCTTCTCCCGGCCCCTGGCACCAGCTTCCCTCTGGCACCCAGGACCTGGGCTTC